GATCTTATTTTTTGCGATTTTCCAAAAGTCTATAGGAAAATTAAAATGGTTTAAATTGAAGGGGTGATGAACTAAGAAATCAAATTTTCCTTCAGCTTTTGACATCTAAGAGGTCATCATATTATACGAATATCCTGTAAGTTTCAGAACTGTAAACGTCCTTGTTAGTCCAATAAAATATTTTCTGACAACGACTCGTTTTTCAAAGTGGGAACTATGACGACAAAGAGGATAAAACACCACCCCCGCAGAAGAAGATCAACGCCTAACTATAACACGGCCATTTAGCCCCGCCCACCGATTCGCGCATTACATGCATAGCAAATAACATAGGCCTACCTCGTGATGACAAACCGGGTCGAGAGTGAAACTCATTATAATATGCAAAACTGTTATCCACTCACAGCAGTGGGCGTTTACTTCCAAGTCTTCAATGCGAGACGCCCATAAAACCGAGCGTTTTTGAGCTGGGCTCAAAACTAGGGTAGAAAATAGCCTATTACTTATTCATTTTGATGTTTTTTCATGTAAAAACCAAGCGAACGTCATAAGTTGACCTCAGACAACAATATATAAAAAAATTTAAAAGCCAGTTCATGACCCCTTTAAAAATAAACTTCATAAAATAAACTGGTTTAATTTAGGTTTTCATACACATATAAATATAGATCTGCTAATTTACACAGAGCACTTTATACATGTATAAAAGCCTAAATTGAATCTGTTTATCATATAAAGCGATCCCCTCTGTTCATAAGACTTAAATTTCTTTTACAATCTCTTTATGAATGTTTTGGAGCATCAGTGTTATAGGTACATAGATTTTCAGTTTTGAAGATGAATGAAAGTCTATTGGGTTTAGAACGACATAAAAGTGAGTAACTGATGACAAACTTTTCATTTTTGGGCGAACTATCCCTTAAATAAAAGGCATTAGCTCAGTCAAGAGACAATGAGAGTGAAATAAGCAAACACATAATGATTCACAGGGTTGTATGACTTGATGATAAAATGAGAGATCACCAAGCACTCCAATTCATGCACACAAGGTTTTCAGGAGAAAACTGATGCATACGCTACAGGAATTTTATTTTGGCTCAAAAATCGAAAGGTCGGGTGGGAGAGAGAGGTCACTACCTGCACCACGGGGATGTGCTGGTGAAGTATGGCGAAGGTGAGAGGCGTAGCCTGCGGGTCTCTGGGAAGACTGAGGGGTACTTTTGCACTGTGTTTGGCACCTACGGGAGGTACAGGGGACAGAGCAG